CCCACCCCCTTGATAAAGATGGTGGACACGGGGACACGGGGAGGTGGGAGGTGAACTGTTTTTGAATGTTTAGCTCTCTCGGGTTGTACTTGGCAACTTAATTTGCAAATTTGAAATCTGCTTCTTCAAAGCTCTTTTGAGTTAGCCTTTCTCTGGTCGGATGCAGAAAGTTTTGATTCTGGCTCATTATCGGTTTAGCTTCACCAGCTCGCCACCAACGGATGCATTTGGATTTCGGACTCCGACTCCACACGGTGGTCCTAGACTGCTCTTTCCATGCTCCAATTGGTCTCACTTGAAAAATTCGATTCTGTGACAGGCTGCTTGTCAAGAGGAAAGGAAGAAATCTTGTTTCCGGTTGGAGCTCCAGGACTACTTCTTACTCAACATCAATCCCGCCTGTCTAACCAGTACCTTGGCTTACTCCTTCCTGTTGCTTACTGACTGGTTTTCTGCAAAACCATCTTTTTGCAGAGTAGACAGTTACTTCCACTATAAATCGCCTAGCAACGGCAACGTGTGTTTCTTCCCTCTCCTCCCATCGTTTCTTTGGGTCTTCTTCCTTCTCAATGATCCTGCTCTCTCTCCTTTCGATTTTCAAAGCTCTACTGATGCATTCTGCTGTAGGCCAGGCGTGGCGATCCGGGTATTCGTGCTAAGTAGCTCTCCAATGAGTAAAAGACAAAGAAGCATCCATGAACTCGAACTTGTTCTCATTTTTGTTGCTTGTTTTGGTATATGTGAAGAACGCAAGGAATGGGTGGGGAGCAGGAGCCGAGCTACTTTATTTTAAGCTGTTCAAGAGTAAAGTTGTCTTTTTTTACCGATGTATTTTCTCCTCCCTAGCTACGCGAGTAGGAAACCTAAAGTATGATGAGTCCAAATAGTTCTGTTTTCTTGTATCGAGCCCGTTTTGTGTTACAGCACAGTAGTGTTCAGCAGTATCTCTGCTTATTGTTATATATCATCTACTTCGGTCCTACTAGTGGAGGCTTACTTGCCTTGGTTTCCAATACTTATTACGCTTTTAATGAGTTTTTTTTTCTTGCTCTGATCACGTCTCACATCGATTCTTCTCATATCCCTCATTCTCCTCATATGCGCTCATATCCTGCTTGGATAGCTTCTCAGTAGCTAATCTGCGAACCGAGCTTCAGTGTGAGATATACTTCCGATCGCCTCTTTACTTTCGTGGTGACCGGCGGATTTTCGAATCTGCCATGGCATCCGTATTGATTCTGTTTTTATTCTTTCCGAGGCTTTGGGGTGCCACATCATCAACGAAATTATGGGTATCGTTACTATCCACAGCACCATGAATTGGTTTTTTTGAAGGCACATTACTGCAGTATAAGGGCCGGATAGCTTGTTTGAATGTCAGTAATAAAAGTATTAATTTTGGATATGCACTACGCCTGAGACTCAAAAATCGATCATTCTGATCAATATCGATCTAAATCGGAATTGATCTTTACTCTTCCGTGCTTGTTTACAACAAACATTGCCTTGTTTCAGAAATCAAGGGTATTCAGTGTATCTTTTAAAAAACATAGTGACTCCATGATTGTGAAGCGTATACGAGCGTGAACAATTAAATTCTTCCCGGATTACGCCATGCCTTCGTACTTGTACATATATTTCATGTTTTGGAAAGTAATCATAAGCCAATGGAACCATTTTCAGTGTTTATGCCCCTATCTTCAACACAAGTCGAGCCAGCACGAGTGATCGACATGCCAACGTCCGTCTCTTATCCAGTACCACTGATCGATGAAAATAGCAGGTTCGTTAGTCCCTGTTGGGAGAAAAATTTTCTCATTTTTGTTGTTTTTGCTTGTTTACAGCTTTACGTTGACCCTGTTCACCAAACAAGTGTCGGCTAGAGGGCGAAACATCCCCACAGGGTGCACGTGGATTCGGCAGTGTAACAAATAGACATGAGCTATGTTCTTTGCTGGCCCAAAACCTACTTGTTACACTGCCAAAACCACGTGCACTTTACCTCAGAGTTCAGTAGCGTGCTTCGTGCAGCTTGATAACAGTTGGGGTGTTTCTTAGCCAGTAAGTCAGTATCAGTCGTGAATGGGACGTGACAACGGAGTCTGGTATTGTAATGGGTAAGTAGGACATTTAGAATCCATAGGTTGAGGTTCAGTTGTCGTCTGAGATTGAAGAGAAGACGTCTGAGTTGAATTTAAAATGTTTTTTCGATGTAAAGTCGCTCGTTTCAGGACATCTGTCGAGTACGATTTTGACGCGATATTCAACCACCCGCAAGTGATGATTCGAGATAGGGAAGCAGTTGAGAAGAAGCTACGAGTCATGGTTGAAGCTGGCAAAGAAAAACTTATGGTAATGCTTCAAAAAGTCATCGTAGAAATCGCCCACCTCTATCTGTCTCAGCGGTCCGTAAGGTTACCACACTTAATCGAGGCCACTGTTCATGACATTCCTGATTGGGCCATTCAACAAGGGATTCCATTAGGGAGCTCCTGGCATTTCCTCCGCAGCCTTGTCGGAGCGCCAGACGGAAATCCTCCCTCGTGGAATCCTTGAAACTGAACAACGTCGTAGGGCAGGCGTCTGTTTCGGCTAGTCGTGTCAGGAGCCTCGATAGTTCAATGATCATAGATACACAGTCTTTACATGAGTTGCTGGAACC